CACGTAACAGTGCAGCCTAGATGAAGGTGTGCTTACCGGTGTTGTCAGGGCTAGCATGAGGGACAAGGTGTATAGTGTCGGTGAGTAGTGATAGCAAGAGTACCGTTAACCTAGAGTTAATTTATTCACATTAATTCCCATCAACAAATCAATTGTAATCAATCAACTTGCAAGGCAAGTTTATTTATATAGCACTTTTCAACACAAGGCAATTCAAAGTGCTTTACAAAAAATGAAAGACATTACAAAAATGGCATTTAAAAACAATCATTAAAAAGCACAGATAATAAAATAAACATTAAAAGAAAAAATATGTGAATAAAAGTTACAGTGCAGTTTAAGATGTGAATAGTTCAATTAAAAGCAGCGGCAAAAAGAAAAGCCTTCAGCCTGGATTTAAAAGTAGTCAGAGTTGTAGTGGACCTGCAGGTTTCTGGGAGTTTGTTCCAGATATTTGGAGCATAATAACTTAACGCTGCTTTACCATGTTTAGTTCTGACTCTGGGGACAGAAAGCTGACCCGTCCCTGAAGACCTAAGAGTTCTGGATGGTTCATAATTTAGCAGTAGGTCAGAAATGTATTTTGGGCCTAAACCATTTAGTGCTTTATAAACCAGCAACAATATTTTTGAAATCTATTCTTTGACACACAGGAAGCCAGTGTAAAGACTTCAGAACAGGAGTGATGAGATCCACTTTCTTAGTGTTAGTGAAGACTCGAGCAGCGGCGTTCTGAATTAACTGCAGCTTTCTAATAGATGTTTTAGTGAGACCTAGGGATGGGTATCGAGAACCGGTACTAAGTCAGTACCAGTAGCCGATTGGACGGTATCGGTATACCGTTAAGCCGCTGGACAAATGGTGCTGCTATCGGTATATGAATTACGCTACTTCCTTACTTTAAACAATTCTGGTTGGTTGGGAACCCACATCCCGTGTGACGTATCCGGCTTGAGTACCACTGATTGGCCACTGTGAATGCCACTCATCATCTCTCCTAACAGCGCTCTTATTATTGTGAGACTCCCGGGGCAGACCATAGGGGCAGACGCAACATTTTGCTAGAAACAGCGTCTCAAGGCTTCTTAACATTAACAACCTATTAATGATGCATACCCACTTAACGGGAAGAAACTCAGCTAACAGACGATATTAACCATTTTACAGTCCAACGCCAAGAGTCTAAAGAGTTTCAAATCAACACTTAGCGAAAAGGGGCTAACGGGGCTAATGGCTACTTTAATAATAATAATAATAATACATTACATTTATAAAGCGCTTTTTCTGGTGCACAAAGCGCTTACAAGCAAGTAAAACTTCAAATTAAAACTTTAGCACATAACTGGCAAAATCGATCTTTTCTACGTCATGTTATCTGACATGTTCTTTCTTAAGTGTTTACCGCTAGAACAGTGCCATTATATGTATTATATATAACAACTTTACTCTAAGTCCCTCCTGCAGACATCCTGCTGAATAAACAGACACACAGCTGGGGGAGGGGATTCAGCTAGACGACTGTATACGGAGATGATAGGTTGGGACGTATCACGTGTGCCACATTTCGCCATTGATGTCAGAGGAGAAAAATACTGGATCTGCACGTTTGCACCCCCGTTTTTTTAGAGATGTGGGTAAGGAGGAAAAGAGAGAGGGTTGTATTTTCTGAAACTTTGTGAAGTCTCCTTACACACCGGGGACACATATTTATGTATAAAAGACATTAAAAAGTGCATTTTGCATAATAGGTCGCCTTTAATTTGATAACTTGAAACTTTGCAATGCAGGTCCAGCAATAGAGTTTTGTTTGACTTCATAATGTGCTTAAGGCCACCAGCAGTGTGTGTCTTTCTCAGTATCAAGCAAAATAAGAGTTTGATAACCTTTTTTTTTTTTTAAAGTCAAGCAAAGATAATATTATCTCAAAAGTATAAGTATATAATTTGTGTAATCATGTTAAGTATTTTTTCTTTTTTTAACCTCTCTTATTGTTTGCAGTTTCCTTTGCTTTTTTCTCAATAATCAGATGTTTGCTCTCTGTGGGGGCTCTGCGGTTACGCTGCAGCTCTCTCTTTGGGCTCGGTCATGTTTTGTTTGCGATTCTGACACAAACCTCTCAGGTGGGCGGGACTTTCAGGGTGTGTCCCCATTGGCTACTCAGTTTTCACAGCCCAGAGATGTTTTGATCATTAAAATAATGGTTACAACTGAAACATGCATGCTGTCACCATGACAGCAGGCAGAGACCTCAGAGCCCAGCAGCGTCCACATGCTCAGCAGAACGCTCTTTATGCTCACATTCCTAACCTTTAAACCATGCTTCTGTTTCAGCTGTGTTGAGGTGGATGAAGATGACGCTCCAGATATTGACATATATCACTGTCCAAACTGTGAGAAGAACCACGGCAAATCCACCTGTAAGTAGCAAGTAGTGCTAACTAGCTCAGAGTTCCCATCCAAATGAAACTGTTTCTAAGAAAAACATTATTAAAAGGTCTTAATATGAAATAAAATGATGTGTTCAGGGGCCTCATTTATAAAGCCTTGCGTAGGATTCACGTGGGAAGGTTGCTTACGTAGGACAAAGCAAATAAATACGCACAGACATTTTCCGATGCGTGCGGCACGTCCTACGCCGGTTTCCCTTTATAAATCACAATCAACTTGAAATGCGGCGCAGCTTTTCGGGCTTCACGTAACGTCCATATTTGCCTATAAATAGTCAAAGAAACGCCCCGTATTAATATTCATTTTGACTGACTGCATGAAGAAGATCGCAGGAAATGACGACAGAACAGCTAAAAAAGACATTTCACACCGTGTCAGATTTTGGTTCTTTTGGGAAGGTGGAGATAAATCACATTGTTTGGTGGATGCAGTTTGAACCAGAGTAGCAGCATGGAGGTCGGATCTTCACCAAAATAAATAAATAAGTGGTCCGAAAAAAGTTAATGACAAAATACACATAACCTTCCTCAGGCAGTGTGTCAGTGTGTTTGTGCCGGGGACAGGAGACCCCCCCCCATGATGAGAAACTGTAAGAAAGGGGGGATCCCTGCGGAGTGGAGTCAATTAATGTTTATTTTTTTATTTGGTGGTTTGTGTTCCAGCTGTCGATCAGCTGTGCGCAGCGTCTCCACTGCAGCAACTCTATATCCACCAGTTCAATTAAATAAAACAAATGTGTAATATCAGCTGCCAAATCTACCAAATATATGGTGTTCTTAGTTTCCATACCTCCTGTGTTTTATGAGCGACTTATCAAGTCTTAGCAAACGGCATAAAACATGATTAAACATGATAGTATATAAAACCATTCTCGTATACAACCTATAGAAATACAGAATGGCGTCAGTTTAGACGTAATTCTGTCCTTCTGCATACCGCATCATTTATGAGAATACATGTCATAACATTAAGACAACATATTCGAGGTTGTTTTCAATAACATATCTGTATATATTTATTTCTCCAAGTTACGTTTTTGTATGCACTGAAGAGTCTCAAACAGGCGTTTGTTTAATCATTTTAAGATTGGCTTCAATCAGTTTTTGCGAATTAATTCGTAATATTGATAGCCTACATGAGAGGTAACATTATATTTATGGTATTATTTTCACATATTTCTCTCCATTCTTCCTTCTGCCAACGATGTTGCAGTTTCTCGTCTCCCGTTTTTCTGCGTACCGCATACGTATGGGTCATAGTTTGCGTGGAGGACCGCAAATGTTCCCGTCAAGTTTGTTTTTTATAAATCGCAAACATTGCTTAGAAACTGGCGTACGCCATCTTTTGAGCGTACGCGCCGTTTATAAATGAGGCCCCAGGTCATGTCTTGCTGTGTTATTCTGCATTGTTACTGTTCTTGAATGTCATTTGTTTTTCTGTTTTTCAGTGAAAAAGAAAAAGAACTGGAGCAAACATGACACAGGACAAAGCACAGATATCAAAGCTGTTCAGAACGGCAGCCAGGTTTTCATAAAGGAGCTGCGCAGCAGGACCTTTCCAAGGTAAAGACATGACACACTGCTGTCCTCATGTCTCATTACTGAACTACAAACAGAGGAGTCCTTTGAGATGAAGTGGGAAACGTTCTATATAATCAGAATCAGATCTCCCATTTAATACACTCTATTTAACTGTCAATGTTGATTAGGCTTCTTGAAATGTCATGAGTGACTCTAAGGAGTTGTCAATCTCACAATGTATCCCTCACTTAACAATAAGCCCACTAGGGGGCAGTATTAAATTACTTTTCAAATTCTGCTTTAAAATTGTTTTGTGTGTGTGTGTCAGTGCTGATGATGTTGTGGTGAAGCTGAGCGGCGGTCAGCTGACCATGGATTACCTTGAGGACGGGGGCTTCAACGAGCCCCTCCTGGTTCTGAAGAAGGAGGGTTTGGGCCTGAGCGTGCCCCCCCCCACCTTCTACATCAGTGATGTGGAGAACTACGTTGGTAAGAATCTGAGCAGCTACTACAGCACTGCTCTCTGCTAACTTCTGTTAGCTAATGACTTAACTACTCTTACTATAAATACTTCAGCACTGCTCTCTGCTAACTTCTGGTAGCTACTGACTTAACTACTGTTACTATAAATACTGCAGCACTGCTCTCTGCTAACTTCTGGTAGCTAGTGACTTAACTACTGTTACTATAAATACTGTAGTATTGCAACTACAACATGTGCTATTACTACAAGCATTACTTGTGTACTAGTACTACAACCAGCCTACAACAGTACAACTTCAATGAATTCTATCATCACTACTATTACTGCTGTATATTGAATGCAGTAATAGTAGAGTTTGGGCCCTCCCTGGAGAAATCAGCGGTAAAACTGCCAATGAGTGGGCAATGGATGCATACCAAAAGAACGTGAGGTCTGTAACATATTTAGTGAAAATAAACGTGTGTGAGTGTGAGATAGTCGTCACCTAACAGCCTGTCAGAATAAACTGAGGTGTGTGTGTGTGTGTGTGTGTGTGTGTGTGTGTGTGTGTGTGTGTGTGTGTGTGTGTGTGTGTGTGTGTGTGTGTGTGTGTGTGTGTGTGTGTGTGTGTGTGTAGTAGTAGTAGTAGTAGTAGTAGTAGTAGTAGTAGTAGTAGTAGTAGTAGTAGTAGTAGTAGTAGTAGTAGTAGTAGTGTAGTAGTAGTAGTAGTAGTAGTAGTAGTAGTAGTAGTAGTAGTAGTAGTAGTAGTAGGTTAGGTTAGTTAGTGTGTGTGTGTGTGTGTGTGTGTGTGTGTGTGTGTGTGTGTGTGTGTGTGTGTGTGTGTGTGTGTGTGTGTGTGTGTGTGTGTGTGTGTGTGTGTGTGTGTGTGTGTGTGTGTGTGTGTGTGTGTGTGTGCGCGTGTCAGAAGAGGAGCTATGGCAGAGCATGAACATTCTTACATCAACATTTATATTTAATCTTCAAAATTCGCATGCGTTTGCGGTAATGTTACACATTGACATTTTTCAATGTTTGAGTATGTTCTCTGCATATAAATGAGGCCAGAATATAAAAAAATAGAGCATGTTTGTCCAAAGAATTCCCGGACCCCCTTACAGAGATATATCGGTGATGCTCCGGGATATGTCGTTTTTGTTTCTGAGATGCACTTTAACTGTTGTTTTCAGCTCAGTGACATTCAAGACGCTCATACGATTAGATACAGATATATGCTTGTAATGAATCAGCAAGATTAATTGTTAAGCAATTTTGTTTACCAGGGGCATGCCCTCACATATTAAATGCCCACCCAAGGACTTAGGTCTGCCGCCCAGTCTGTATTCAAAGTGATCCTTTCAAACTGTTTGTGTTTTATTAAGTAAATAAAGATACTGCATCAAATAAACGTTTTACATGGGGGTAGGTACATGTGTCTTCCTTGCCTCTGTGGTCACGTGTAACACATAGACAGAAGAAGATGTTTAGCCAGTAGCGGTTAATTTTTCTTCAGCTTTTATCATGTTTTGTCCCCTTTTTTCTCAGGTCCAGATGTGGGTGTGGACGTGGTTGACGTCACCAAACAGACCGACAGCAAGATGAAGCTCAAAGAGTTTGTAGATTTTTACTACAGCACAAACAGAAAGAAAGTGTTGAATGTCATCAACTTGGAGTTCTCTGACACAAGGTAACATGCTCTTTACCTGACGTGATTTTTGAAATGAAGTGAAAAAGTCCTTGTACTCATCTCGTTTCTTATTTGCTGCGTCAGGATGAATACTATGGTTGAAAGTCCACACATTGTACGTCAGTTGTCCTGGGTAGAAAACTACTGGCCTGATGATGCTCTGCTTGGGAAGCCAAAAGTCACAAAATACTGTCTGATCTGTGTCAAAGACAGCTACACAGACTTCCACATCGAGTGTGGTGGCGCCTCCGTCTGGTACCACGTCCTGAAGGTCTGTCACTCTCAGCGTCACGCCTGTTGTGAAACATCAAACTTTATCTCTCATACGATAGTGATGGTGCTAGAACATGTGATTGTGTTTGCAGGGGGAGAAGATCTTCTTTCTCATCAAGCCCACCTCTGCCAACCTGTCTCTGTACGAGCGCTGGAGGTCGTCGTCCAATCACAGCGAGATGTTCTTTGCCGACCAGGTGGACAAGTGTTACAAATGCACTCTGAAGCAAGGGCAGACGCTTTTCATCCCATCAGGTATTTTTTGAGAATTAATTAGTCAATGCAATAAACTGAAACATACTTCCAGCTTCTTGTCACTTTGTTTTGTCTCTGTAAATGGGATGTCTTGTGTTTATGCTTTTTAATTAAAGGTAATATGTAATGTTAATTCATAAAAAAAAAGTGTGTATTTCAAATCTGCTCCATGTTGGAGAAATCAGGGTTAAAGAGTTTAAAATACTTTGACACTCAACAAAAAAGCATATATGGTACGTTGTGATAAAGATGTAACTTAAGATATTTGTTAATATAAATAAATAATATTCAGTTCAGCTCTGTCTGATTTAGCTGAATCAGGCATAAATAAGTGTGAATGAGCAGCCTGTAACAGAAGATGATTTACAGCCTTGTTTCAAAGCCTTGGTCCCACGTGGGACGGGAAACTCCACAAATCTATTAATCAATAGAACATTAAAATCCTCAAAAGTTTGTAAATGATACTTAATGGTAATAAGAGTTTGTGCAAGTTTACAGGGTTAGATTGATGCTTTGGGTGAGGAAGGGCAGATCGCAACTTAAAGGTCACCTATTATGCAAAATCCACTTTTTCATGTCTCTTCTACATCAACATGTGTCCCCTCTTCTTCATGTCTCTTCTACATCAACATGTGTCCCCTCTTCTTCATGTCTCTTCTACATCAACATGTTTCCCCTCTTCTTCATGTCTCTTCTACATCAACATGTTTCCCCTCTTCTTCATGTCTCTTCTACATCAACATGTGTCCCCTCTTCTTCATGTCTCTTCTACATCAACATGTGTCCCACCTTCTTAATGTCTATTCTACATCAACATGTGTCCCCTCTTCTTCCTGTCTCTTCTACATCAACATGTGTCCCCTCTTCTTCATCAATCAATCAATGTTTATTTATATAGCCCAATATCACAAATGTTACATTTGTCTCAGTGGTCTTTACAGTGTGTACAGAATATCAGTATGACAATACGACACCCTCTGTCCTTTGACCCTAACATCGTACAAGGAAAAACTTCCAGAAAAAACCCCACAGTTTAAAGGGGAACATGGGAGAAACCCCAGGGAGAGCAACAGAGGAGGGATCCCTCTGCCAGGACGGACAGACGTGCAATAGATGCCGTGTGTAAATCGAAAAGATAATACATTTACAACATAGGTAGACCAAATGTTTGGAAATGCATGTGTCTATAAGAAG